CTATGGGAGGAGTCCCAGACGGAGCAGTGAAGGGAAACTAGAATTGAGCGGAGCTGCGTAGGAAGGCAAGGGCCAGGCTAGTTAGAAGAACCTGTCAGAAAGATCTTCAACTCACACCTCTGACAGAACTTCAACTACATCCCAGCCAAGGCGGGGGACATGGAGTCCAAGTGGGCCATGTMCCTGGACCTCAATTCTTGAAGTGGCTGACTTGATCTGTGGCGGATAGTTGTTYGTGCTTCTCACGGTGGCCATCCTCAAACTTGGTGTGTGGACACCTTGGGTTAGGGGGACTGTCAAGCTGAAGYAGGAGTCCTATCTGGCCTTGTTGGCTAATAGGACTCTGGAGGTACAGTAGCTGAGGACTATTGGCATGCCAAGTGGGTTACAGCCCTGGCCATTGCTGAGACAAAAACTCAGATGTGGGAGGAGTTTGGTGAGGCCTTGGACAAAAACTCCCTATCGGCTCTGAGGAGATTCTGGCAAACCATCRGGTGGCTAAYGCGAGGGAAGCAGCATTTCACTAACACWGTGTTCAATGAAGGTGAGGTACTGTTGACCTCAACCAGTCACATCGTTGGGAGGTGAAAGAATACTTKTCAAACCTTCACAATCCCACCTTCTATGGAGGAAACTGAGGACTTCAGAATTGGTCCATCCAAAACTGGGGCTGAAGTCACTGAGGTAGTTAAAAAGCTTTGTGGCAGCAGGGTTCCAGGGGTGGATYAGATCTGCCCCTCAAYGCTCAAGATCTGCCCCTCAAGGCTCAAGTTTGTTCTGTTGGGTATGACTCGGCTTTGGGTGGACTGGACTGGCACAGTCCCGATCAGTCAGTCAGCTTCCTCTGAAAAGCCCCTGTGGAAACAGTGTGTTTCACTTTTTGCATGGAATTACTGAAATAAARAAACTTTTTTGTGATATTCTACTCTTATGACCAGCACCTGTKTAGTTTTATGTAATGATGTTGCCATAGAGGCTTTTATTATAAATGTGAAACAGTTTGACATGTTGAAGAAGTGGTTTTGGGACGACAGCGATCCACTTTGTTCTTAGCTGTGAAACGAGCAGCTGTCAGACAGAATGAAACTTTATTCTCCAAGCTGAGTCAGTTTAAAATGTTATCTAGAACAGATATTATTTATAATGTTTTCACATCAGTATGGTTGAAATATCACCTTTAACAAGATGAATTAATACATCCTGTGTTTTCCAGTTATCAGTCTGCAGAGCCCGACGCGTTGCTCGTATCAGCTCTGGAGCAGCGCGGCCTGGACCAGCTGAAGAGAACTGTGGAAGAGGAGATCATGAAGTCTACAGGAAAACAGATTTTACACCTGAACATTGACCTCAGCTCTCCTCAGTTAAGGTGAAGTTCTAAATACATCCCCACTGCTGCATAACCCTAACCACATGATGTAAACGTGTCATTCTTCACAGCTGGCTGCACAAAGAGGCCACCGTCCAGGATGTGCAGGTGAACGCTGATGAAGGCACAGCTGTCGTCAAGGTRATCATCAGTGCTGCGGCTCACGGTCGCTACAGGAAAGTGTTCAAAGGCAGATGAGGCTTTGTGCGGGGACAAATAAATCTGCATCACAAAGACCTTAAAATACTGTTTACTGAGCAGAACATGAAGACTTAAATGTACAAAATGTGTAAAAGAGTAAAGCGGTTTTTAGTAAAATACAAGGAGTGCAGCTAAATGTTGGTACAAAACCTAAAATCCGTCAGGAAGTGAATGTAGAATCACTTTCCACTGAAAATAATTATAAATAAAACTGATTTTTCTTGTGGCTGGAGCTCCTGAGCTTTAGTTTGTGGTTCAGTTGGATCACTAAAGAACTCAGAGGAAGTGGACCCACGAAGTCTCCCGCTATGATGTTGAGGCTCTTCTGGTCTGATCCGGGTGTCTGCTGCTCCACCCACCTCCTCAGACACTCCCAGTTCCTGTAGGTCAGCGTCCGCAGGGACTCCTTGGGATTCTTGGRGATGTAGGTCCTGTCGGTGGTGAGATTCAGACCGGTGATGAAGAACCCCTCTGTGGACACAACAACACTCAATGTTTCACAGTTACAGGATACAACRCACTACCTCCTAACAAAGTAAACTTATTAAATGCTGGAAGAAAAGTACCATTTTAATAAAAATATGGTTATGTTAAATTTAAGGGCAGCATCTCAAAAAAGTTTAGATGAAAACAAAAACTGAAATATGTGGTTTGAATGAGAATCAGCTAGAGGAGTGTTTTGTAACGAGATTATTTGGAAATGGCAGTAAGGCCACTGGGTGTAAGGAAGGCAGAAGTTCTTTGTTAATCTAAAAGTAAAACTGGGAAGAAGTTCATCAGTCTGAAAAACTGAATCTAGTGCGACAATTTCAGAATAATGTTTCTCAACAAAAACAAAGGGAACAATTTGAATATCCCATCATCTACAGTTTATAATCTCAGTAGATTACAAAAATCTGGAAGAAACTCAAATTTTGATGGGGGTAATCTTTGCACTCTGCATTGAAAGCAGTCAGTTTGTGGTCAAACAAATCAAAATTTGAAATTATTTTTAGAAACCTTAAATGCCAAATCATTTACTAAACAAGAGGAACCAGAGGTGGGCAAAGCTGATCTCTAACCACTAAACATAAACCAGGATGAATGAATGATATTTTATTGATCTTATAGGGAAATTACAGTTCGGAACAACCCATTCAAGACTGACCGGGTGCCCCTGGTCCTGCTGCCACAGACCCTGCACAGAGCATCATCATGAAATCCTGAGAAGGTGCTACCTTTCTTATGCTGCGTTCACACCAAACGCGATTTCAGCTTCAAAATCGCAGCCAACGCTGAAGTTGGTCATTTGTGCACTTTGAGGTCAGACGCAGGTCAGCTCTTGAAGCGC